TGCCAAGGCTTAAAGCAGCAACAACGCTACACATAAAAACTGATGATGGTGGAAAAATACACCGAAACGTATTTTGATTGATAAATAGAGACAATCAATGACTGAAACCCAGGAATAAATTTGATTTTTAATTGAAACACAGTCAGGAAAGTATATACAATGTTAACTTTATTGTATTGTGAGTGCTCATTTCAATACTTGGTTTCACGGTCTTTCTGCGTCAATTTTACTACTGAATGTGTACAGAACCGCTAAAAAAAGTGGCAGAATCTCCTTATTATTCCCCGTGTGGTTGTTAGAATTACCTCAGCCAGTCATCCTTCGTATAGAAGAGCGAACTGCATCTGAAAGGGAGAATTTGAATTTAAATAAGAACTGATCAGCAGCCAGGGAAGACCCACTTTCGAATACGGTTTCGTATTCATACGAAAGGGGGAAAATGTACACGACAGGCATTTTAAACTGTCAACAACGTGTAAATAATACAGATGTATTTCGAGTTTTTTTTCGGTACATAAATCACCTGCTCTCCCAGCTTAATTTGGGCGTTTTTCCTATCGTGGAAACACCGAAGTTCATAATTTACGCAGGTACGACATTCGAGTAAACAAAATTGAACTGTTTTAATTCGCCGATGAGCAGGCGTCGATATTAATTCCATATCGATTGAGCGAACACAAATTCGACAAACTGATGGAGAAATATTAAATTTGACCAGTTTAATTACAACTCAAATGGCTGCGACTACAGTGCACCTGCTAAAGTGGATGAGCAATTTTCGTTTTGTTCGTCAACATTTAATTTCTATTGCGATTGACTGACAAATGCAACTTCCACTCGATGGGCAATTGAGCGGCATTAAACTATACAAAGAAATATTAATATTGAATATTCGCCCGAAATAAAGGGCCTTTGGGTTAGTGGGAGCGCAGATTATCACTGTCCAAAACAGCCACTTTTACCTGTGTGCATAAAAGCAAAGTCGGTGAGCCATTTTATCAGCATCCAGGCAGTTTTTTCCGTTGGTAGCGAAACGTGTTAATCCTCCGACAAGATTTAGATTACCTTAGGGAACAGTATCGCGTAATTTATTGCACCCTGCTATGGTTTCAGGCATAACGAATATTTATTAAGGTATTTCTGGATAGCATAAGACCAAATAAGACCCGAGAGACGAAGACGTGGAACGTTTCCATTACATGGGCGAGAGTCAACATTTAGGGCGTCAAAAACAAATGCTCCACATGCAAACGTTAACTGCATGGCGACTTGTTTTATTTTGTGACTTTTTAATTGACTTTTTTCGACGATAGCAAAACCACTATTGAATTTAGTGAGTATGGGGTTCCACGAATTTGGACTAGTGATTCACATACAGAATGTGCGCGAGAAAATGGTCTGAAATGTTGATCAGCAAAAATAATCAATGACTATCAAAAATCATCTGAAAATGTTTGAGTGTTTCGGTGAAAATTGGGAATTTTGCATGGGTTAAATATTGCCGATTGACTCAATTTTGGCAAAAAATTTAATAAAGATTTAGCTACTATTATGAATTGATCCCGAAGTTTTGAAGAACAGATCGAATGATCAGAAGTCACTCGTTTCGGTAGATAAAGGTAAACGTCATCCGAAGCGTTTGTGTTTTAGTTGAAGGTTTTCCATTAGGGAATATGGATTGTTTAATTGTCGAAAAACGCGTAAAAATTCTTAAATGTTGCTATAAAAATGGTGATTCTGCTGTATCAATGACATAATCGACGCACAGAGCAAACAATTTCGAACACAGTGGAAACATTTGAACAGACTGGATGGGTTACTGATATTTTAAGGTCTGTGCATCATCGCAACATTCTTTGACTTACTCTGATGACCTCTGTGTTTGTCCATGACGATTGTACGTGACATATTTTGTACTGTTTTATAATATTTTTTAATTTTTTACCATTGTTGACTGTACTGTACGTATTTATGTTGTAGTATTTCGTTTTTTTACTCGCTTTGTCCATGAAATTTGTCAATTTTTGCGTGGCAATAAAGCATACTTTGATTTGATCTGATTTGATAGACAGTAGTTCGTGAATTCTCGCCGAAGTTTAGGAACTTTCGTATTTATCTGGTAATTTTATATTGGGACTATTGGCGAACTTGGCGAGTCTAAGATGGCGTCAATGTTATTATGTCAAAATGTCTTTTGAATCGCTGAAGGACTGGCGAAGAGCACGAAGACTACCGGACAATATAATATACACTTTATGTAAGAAAGTAGACATGGAATCACAGAAACGTAATAAACACTAGAATATAAAGTTACTTGTATAGAATCTTGAACATACCAGCAATTGAGTAATGGGTGATATTTGATATTGGTAGGCCACGATCATCCGCTTTCAATAATGGTTCGTTTAAAAAAGGCGATATCAGCTCAATAATAGTGGCCTTTAAAAAACAAAATCTTTTCCGAAATTGTACATGCGCGAAAAACTCCAAAGGATTTTTGCCATCTCGTATATATATTTTACTAACACGTTGGTCTTCGTTTATTTCCTCCTCTATTACGTCCAAATATTCAAAACTTTGTCGACTCTTACATTGTAAACGATGGTAAAATCAAAAAATTAAAATCTAAAAACATAACATAAACAGTAATATAACCTTAAAAACTGTTTGACGGTTCAACGACAAATCTCGGCCAATGGCTGGGCAGAAGCAATACTCAAGCCTAGGGACGATACGATACTGGGAAAGTATCGATACTTACTCAAATGAGTAGTAGTTCACAATTTTATTGACTGACTCGATATTGAGTGACTACGTATAAACGTCAAAAATACATTTTAAGTATACATTTTCGATGAGTTTTTCAAGACCAAAATTAACTGTTATCGTGAATTTTAACTGTAAAAGGGCTTTTAACTGTAAAAATACCGTTTGCATGTCTCCCAATGGGTCACTTTTCACAGATATTATTCAGTTCCATATTGTTTTGATATCGGCAATAAGTTTTAAAACTGACTATTCAGAACCATTAATACGTTTTTTTTTTTTTTTTATTCAACGCACAATTTTACGAACCTGATATAGCAAATCAAATTGATTCCTGGGTTTCAGTCATTGATTGTCTCTATTTATCAATCAAAATACGTTTCGGTGTATTTTTCCACCATCATCAGTTTTTATGTGTAGCGTTG